TGACAAGCATTTTCGTGACCAAATTTTTCAACATAACCAAGTAAAGAATCATAACATGGCCAAAGAAAACCACCATTGCGACCAGATGCACCAGAACATGGTCGAGCATTTTTTTCAAGTAATAATATACGTGGAAAACGTTCAACAGGATATAATTTTCGTAACCAATAAGCACATGCTATACCTGAAAAACCAGCACCAATAATTACGATGTCATATTCATCATTATTTGTAGATAATTCAGCATGAATAATCCGTGGATGTGTTAATAAAGAAGAGATGAAATCATGTGTTTCATCAATCCAAATTGGATTTGATGGTCGCACAGTTGATTCTGTCATTATTAGTTTTTTTTATGAAATGCGATGCTCTGTTAAAATATAAGATCAAAATGGTTGTTTATTATTATAGATTCTTTTCTTTCATTGGACTAAACTCTCCTCTATAATAAAAGATCCTCTCGTGATAAAAGACGCTCCCATAATAGAAGGCCCTCTTGCAAGAATGACGTGAAATTCATAATAGAAGATCCGGATCTTCAAATTAAAAAATAATTTTTAAGTTATTAATTTTTCGATCATTAAATTGTCGATATTATTGTGTGTACTGTACAACGAAAGATACAGAAGAATTGAAAACATAGTAATGGTTCGTTTATGCACATCTAGAATATGTTTTGTTCACATAAAAATAGACACAAATCGACTAATCAAACTGTGATAATCAAGCTATTGAATAGGTACCTTTCATAGATTAGACTCTATCATGATGAATTTAAGTCACCAAAAACGATGATTAAAATGTATATGCATATAGTATCTTATATATCAATGGTCGCATAATACTGAGTCACAGATAACCATATAAAGAAATCATCATGTGTTAATTAATGTTTTTTTTAAACTATGTATCTCCCTTACAGAACAGAATTTAAAAAAACCGCTTTCAGGTGTACACTCAGGACGTTCTCACGAATATGGCAAGCTTTTTTCTGATTGAAAACGTTGCTTAGGTGTTAAGAACGAGGGCAGACTTGAGTCGTGACTCATCTGTCGAGAAAAAGAAGAAGAAGAAGAAGAAAAAAAAATCAAAAGCAATAAGTCGACTACTGCGCTTCGTACAGTCAGCCGTTTTAATAAGAGTAGGATGCAGGTGTTAGAGGTCATGACTTTGCCGTCACTCAGACTTGCTCTACATATTTCTATGAAAACAAAAATATCAAGTTATAATGAACATATTTTTTGATGCTTTGCTATCGATAAAATGTTGTGTCGACGAATAGCATCGTAGCATAAATCATTACATTTTGAAAAACTGAAACCTAGATTAATATTAGTATGCATTTATTTTCATTTATCTCTACATTCGAAAGAACGTGCCTTTATTTTTTATCTAACCAATTGAGAGATAGTGATCATTGTCTAAAGAAAGTTCTAGATTTCAGATAAATCTAACTTGTAAAATACTGACTGTCAGTAGATAAATTATTTACACATTTTGTGTATAGTATTATTATTTGAGGAATAAAGTCGATGAATCACAAGCTAATCTCAGACTTACATTTGAATGCAAACATTTTTCTATTATCAGTAAAACAAGAAAATTAATTTAAATGATATACTTCGTATATCCATCAATACTTTTCTCTGATTCATAAAACATCAAACATATACATTTTTTGTAACTTGATTAAAACAATTCGTCATGTCATTCTTCTTTCTCACAAAACTCAGAAAAACTCTTATAAAACATAATGATCGTGATTAAAATAAATACTGTATGTTCGTTTTATGCATTATTTATTGATAAATAAGATTTTCTTTTACATTTCTAACTAGGTAAATAACAATATTGAAGTTCCTTTGAATATAATTTATGATTGTTGTTGTTGTTCTTCTTCTTCATCTTTATTTGCTGTTTATGCAGTATCACCTTAACTTGTTTTTGTTAAGAACCACATCATACGACTACCAGCAGGTGCTGAAGCTGTTACTGAAAAGCCAGCACGTTGTAATGTTTCAAGCATATGTGCAGCTGGATGAACACATTCAAGACCTTTCTCATGATCGCATAATTTATCATTTGAACATTCGTTTTGTAAAAATTGAATAATTTCTGGTTGAACCTTATAACCAGCAACACCTGTACTATGAACCAGTGTTGGTCCTGATTCTTCTTCGGATTCTTCGCATGAAACTGTTAATGTTGAATGTAATGGTAAAGCCATAAGTTGTTGTTGTTGTTCGTTAAGATTTAATAATAACTAGACTGTGAATATAAATGCGTGTGGATATGATTTGAATAAACACGTTTTTATAGGGTAAGAAAGATAGAATATAGAGTATGTAGGTAAAAACGACATAACTGAGAAATGTCGAAAAACAAGAGAAAGAAAAAGAATAAAAAAAAGAAAAGGGTACACATTTTTAGATTAGAATATTTTTCGCATTTCTAACTAAATTACTATTCATAGAATAGTTAAAATATTATAACTGTATTGAATAAAAACTTTTAATTAAATATATTCTTTCAAATATAAGAAGAATTTCGTTAAGATTTCTCAAGTGTCAATAAAAACTTCTATACAACTATCGTTACGAATAAATTGGTTTTTATGACTACAGTGAACTGATTAATATTATCAAGAAGTCTTCATTATTTTACATGAATTCTTTTTTATGTTAGTTAGACTTTATAATCAACAAAAACTTATTTCAGTAATTAAATAACATTGAAGAAGAAATGGTTGCATCATCAAGTTTAGACAGTTTATAAAAAAAACAAAAGCCTTATTTAAATGATAAGACTGTATTTGCATTGAATGAATCAGTGATAATAGAAAGCATGGCTGATATAAAATAAAAACAAATGTTTTAGTCTCTGCTTTCTAATGGTTAGATAATATCTTTTCTAAAAATTTAATAATAGGATACTGTTAGTTTATGATGTTGTGATGAATATTTTCAAATCAATCATATTTGTTCCGTTCATCTTATATATATATATATATATAAAATATTGACGAAATAGGATAAAAAATTGTTTTTATTATAATAAACATTTTCGAGTGATGATATATATATTCACAAAAAAAATCATAGATCAGTTTTGATTCTACTCAGCAACGAAAGTGTCCTAATACAAAACATTCATATTATTCTTCAGTGTATCAAATATATTATACTGACATCAAGCAACTAAAAAAAATCTAAATGACACGTTCAATTTTAATGAAATAATTCGAATTTTTTAATTGAATAGGGATACATTCATTGTTCGTTTTTTTGAGACGACTCTTTCGTTGTTGAATTGATAAATCGTTCTGGTAAAAACATTTTTATAAAAGTAACTGTGTTATT